GCAGCGCACCGGCTGCGGCGGCCATTGGAGGGTGAACCAATGGAAAAGGAAGACCTTTCTGTCTCTCTCTCTCACTGTCTAACTCTGCCTGTCAAAAAAAAAAAAAAAGGATGCATGAGTTATGATTTGCTAATTTTCTTAATATGCCTCAATAGAACACTCATGAAAGTACATACTGTATGCCTACTCTGGGCATTCTTCCCATGAAATCTCTCAAACACTCTTCACAATTCCATAAAGTGGGTATTAGCATTATACCCACTTCCCTATGAAGAGAGCAAGGGACAGCGATGTCACTCAGATACTAATGGAAAAGTCAGCACTTGAGCCAACCTTTTCTGACATCAGAATCCATGCTCCTAAGAGCAACTGCCCCATGAAATAGTGCAAGGCCCTGGCAGCCTTCAGAACCACTGTATCCACGTGTTAATGCCCATTTGCTGTCTCAGCCAAGGTCATCCACGTGATGACCAACTCTCACTGCCAAGCAGGTCAATCCACAGCTCTCAGAGGGAATGGTGATGAAATGTGAGTAGTTCAGCACTGGTTCCCAGACCACTAAGAAGGCCCCAAAGAAATGCAAAGCCCCTCTAGTGAGCCCTGGTTTTCCTTTAAATACTGACGAATCATAACCCACAACTCCCCTTACTTGACTTCAAAACGACAACTGCTGTGTTTCTCAGGGCACTTTAAAGTTTGCCAGAGCAGCTGTTCTTTGTCCCTAGAGGCTAAAGCCCAAAATACTCGAGGTACAAATAAGTGGCCAGAGAGGTATATGACCCTTACACAGCTTGTGTAAGGCTGCTTCGCACTCTCACACCTAGCCATGACCTGAGCGGCCCCAAAGTGTCACCTGTCCTCTGGGAGGCCCTGCAGACTCAGCCTGGGTGAACGGCTCCTCACCACCCACACATTCAGCAATTTTTTAGGCCTTAAAACATGGAAATTTAGAAGTAGAGTCATCTGCGTCTCCAAGATAAAAGATGACAGATGGAGGCCTGGATCTTCAATTCTCCAGTTCTTTGCCCAAGAAGACCTCTGTAACACTCAGTTATTTTCACTCATGCCTAAGGAAAACTATCTTTCTCTCGGATGTGCAGACATAACAACGCCCTCCTCCAAAGCTGCTTTCCATTGAGACGCAACAGCTTCTTTCCCAAAGGAATGTGACTTATTTGGTTAAGAGTTTATGCTGAGTGTTTCCATGCCTGAACCCAGGCTTGGAAGACTCTCAAAAGGATGTGGACTTTCTGGTTTGCCTCCAGTTGCTCCAGTGCTCTGGACTCCGCTTGCCGCTCCCTCACGGGCTCACACGGAGGCTGCTCGGACCACCTGCACAATCTACTCATGGAAATGTGTGAGCCCCTGCCACTGTGGGGGCCGCTGCTCAGGACAGTGGTCAAAATCTGAACTCTAGTGGCTTGCAGAGTAAGTTCCAATCCAGGTTACTATGACAGTATTTGTTTAATATTGGGCCAGTTCTATAACTCTTCATCTATAAAATATGGATAACAGAGTAGCACCTACCCCATAAGCTTGTTGTTAGGATTAAATGAGATAACACATACTTAAAAGCATTTCGGTCTTGTTAGTGTGTGTGAGTGCTGCCTTTAGCTAATGGCTTAACTTCACTGTGCTTTTGGGTTTCCTTTTCTTACAGTTTCAAATAAATAATAAACAAAGAAAAGGAAAATAAACATTTTCAGGGGACTGGGAAGGCTATGACGTTGGTTTGTATTTTATTTTACCCAATCTTTGGGATGTGCTCATATGTCTCCTCTTGGGGGAAGTGTTCCTCAACTCCTTGAGGTTGGTTTACCTGTTCCCCAGGTATGCTCATTTGCATAGCACTCCTCGTACCTTACAGCACTTGTTTATGTGTATTTCTATACCCTCCATTAGACTCTAAACAACTTTAAAAAAACAAAAATTGAAAACCCTAAACACTTTCAGGTTGGGAAGAATAGTCAATTTCCTCCATTGGACTAGAAACAACTTTAGGCCCTGTATATCCAGTGCTTGTTGAAGGCATCATTTTCAACTGATGGTCATTATTGTTATTTTCTGGGATTATCATGCACCTCCATTCTGTTGTGAACACAATTTGGCACAGTCTAAATGTACAGCTTCGGGAGTATTCCTGTCAATGACAGGGGCACAAGCTATCTTTTCTCATTGACCAGCCTGTAGCAGAGTCCATTACAGCACTGCAGTTTCTAAAGTATTCAATTCCCTTTTAGGAGAAAATCCCACAGATGATCATGTGGCAAATATTTTAGATCACGGGACACCTGAACTTTCAAAAACTCAGTGTGCACAGGGTAACACGGTCCCTCTGGGGGCTGAAATTCGAAGACACTGACTTTTCAGTGTTGCTAGCCCCTTCCTGGGGGAGGCACCAGGTAAACACCTGCTGAGTGACGGGTGCATGAACCTCAAGTCCCAGTCCCTGCCTCCAAGTCTGAAGGAGGGGCAACAGAGGCCAGCCAGGGCCGTGGCCTTGGGTCAGAGTGGAAGGAAAGAATAGGAAAGCTGTTCACACTCCTTCCACTTCAGAGATATTTCTTCTAAAACCGCAGGACAAGCCAGGCAGATGCTTCAAACAGGACTGAGGGCTGCGCCTCAGCACCACCTGACGGCAACTGTGTGCCTGGTACTTCACCTCCATCACACCCAAACCTGACAACTGGCCGATGAGATAGAACTCACAAGCCCATCTGATGGATGAAGAAACAGAGGCCCAAACCACAGATTGCCCCAAGTCCTACACACTGGAATCCCAGTTTCGATGGAGGAAAAATCCAAGTGGGTGAAGGTATAAGAACTCACACTCTTCCTCTTTCTCACTTCAGGGGTGCCAGGTTCTAGGAGCAGCTGGGGAGCTCCTTCGGGGAGGAGGACGTTCACTAGGCTGAAGCATGACATCAAACCATTTACTGATGTGACCACAAGTCACCGCCCTCTTCCGTCTCTTCTGTTTCTCTCTCTCACACACACACACAGAATGATGTCACTGTTAGAACATCTGCATTAACAACATATGTGTTCATGGACATAGACACATTAACAACATACGTGTTCACGGATGCCAGCACATTAGCAACATGTGTTTGTGGAGGCCAACACATTAACAACATACGTTTCACAGATGCTGACACATTCCTATGAACCATCAACAGCTCCCCAGGTTCACAGCACAAACTCAGTTCCACAACTGAATAGGTGCTTGCTTATTCTTCTCATACACCTCTGAGAATTCCAAAAGACTGCCTAGATCTTTCTTGAAAGATCTGGGCCTACTCAACCTCACTCAGAACGGGTGGCCCAGTGTTCGCCATGACTGGCCCTGTGTTCCGAGAGCAAGTCCTTTCATGGGGCTCAGCTGTCCCGTGGGCATCTAGGAAAGCTGGCGTGCAAAGACAGAAAATGCGACAACTGTTGGAAACCCTCCGCAGCAGTCCACGGCAGAGAGCGAGCGTCTTCTGGCGCAGCCACTTTGTCAACAGCTAAAGCAGCCTATTATCCAGTGGACACAAAACACCCACCAGCTCCAAGGCACCAACGGCTGAATATCTCTATTCTTGCCAAGTTCAGGACCCTGGCCACTTGGCCTCGCCACTAACGTTAGAAACTATTAACAGCTCTAATAACCATCAGACGCACACACACACACATAAACACACAGCAGGGGCAAAGGGAAAAGACAAGAAGAAATAGTCCCCTTGAGTTCCAAGGACCACGTTCAAGGACTTTTTCATAGGCAAACCATGGCATTTCAACACTGCCAGTCAACAGCTCTCCCGCCTCAGCAGCCAAGCCTCTGAGCCAGTTCAGATTTGAAGAATTTGAGAAAGGGGGTCCCAGAGCTAGAGACCCCATCAAATGCTTCTTAGAACAGAAAGGCCTGTGTGCATTTTCCCATTGAAGACTGTCCAAAAGGCTCTTGAAAATAATATCCTTTGCTTCCAAAACATTACACATGATTCCTCCGACAAATGTATGTGTTTCCAGGCGATGCCTGGACTGGACAAAAAAAAAAGTCTTAGGTGGAAGAATGTCTGGCGACTCTTTTATGCCAATACGTTAACAGACCTTCTCTTTTAATTATTATTTCATAGAGCAGCCGTAATCATTCCCTCATTCGCAAAGGAAATATATAATCCAGCTGTGGTGGCTCCAGTAAAAAACACCACATCTGTGGATCGTTGGCAATACTCTGGCAAGATTGCTCAAATCCAGGCCGACTAGGCAAGTTCTTTTGTATACCCCCCAAATGCACATGGTACGCTTTTCTCAAAGTGTACACGAACTTTGCCAAAAAAAATCAGTTGCACCTTTGTATACATCATTGTGGTTTTCAGAAAACTCGCACCCATCACAAAAGGAGGCTCCCTTGGAGTCCTATTCCCAGGACTCCACGGTGCCAAGCAGTCCCCAGACCTCCCCGGGGAGGTGGCTTGCGCCAGGGCCCTCGTCAATATCAAATGGACAGAGGAAAAGCAGCCCTCCGGGTTTCTGGGAGGAGGTCCCACCGCGTGGCTGGCTGGCTGAGAAGCCGACTCCTGGTTTTCCACTTAGCAGGCGAACAGCTTCTGCAGAGAGGATGGGAGCCAGCGCCGTTCAGGTCACCGGCCTCGCCGTTCCCCAGTGGAAGAAGGCAACGTATTCCTGCGCCGTGGGTGCTGCTACCCCAGGAGTCGCCCCCCTGTGCCTCTAGGGGGTCTTTCCCCCAAATCAGCAGCAAACATCTTAATTCTAAGCCCATCTTCCACATCCAATTCCCCAGTCCAAAGCGCGCCTTAGGGGAGAGAGACGCAGACGTATAAAAGAAACGGCAGTAAGCTAAGCCCGGCAGACTTGAACCTCCTCTCCACCACCACCGCCAGACGCCGGCGGCTCCCAAGACGGAATGCCCTCGCCCCGAACACACCCCCCACCTCGGGGTCCCCTTCCTCCCCAGACAATAGAGCCAGAAGGAAATAAAATGAAAGTGGACTTACGGCAATGGCTTGCAGCCTCTCCTTGTGCAGTTCCGCCTCTGCCATCCTGCAGAAGGGCACACGGGCAAGGGAAAGAAGGAAGAAGAACAAAACACGCTGTGGTCACCCAAGGAAATTGATGGGCACCCCGGGGGGCTCCGCGGGAACCCCCGGGGGGAAGGTTGAGGGGCGGCGGGGAACGCTGCGCGCACTGCCGGCAGCCTAGCTAGCCTCTGGCCCCCGCCCGCCCGGCCGCCTGGCTGCGCCCCAGCGCCGCCACCGCTCACTGCATCTCCCCTTCGCTGCCGCCGGCCGCGCCAGCCGGGGACGTGGGCCGCGGGCAGCCGCCGGGAGGGCGCGCTCGCCCCGCGCGCTCGTTCTCCGCCCTGACGTCTGGCGCCTTGCTCCGCCCCTGGGGTGTGGGGCCCGGGGAGGTTCCAGGCGGGTAGGAGCCGCCCGGGCAGCCGCTGCGCCGCAGGTCCCCAAGGCGCAGAACGGGGACGCGCGGGCGAATGGGTACCTGGGGCGCGGCGCACGGAGAGCCGCTAGGGCGCACGGCTTGGCGCGCCCGGGAGGACTGGCGCTCGCTGGAGCCCCAGCAGAAAGAGGTGGCGCCTCCCCCGAGCAGATGCCACCGGAGGGGCCGCTTGGCAGAATGCAGGGCCCGAGCACGTGTCCTTACGTGCAGGCTGCGGCCACCGACTGTTCTGGGCTCCTTCTAGCTCGCGCCAGATGCTCAGGCTGCACGTGGGGGACCTTTCCAACAGGGATAGGCTGCCTCTACTGTGTGCTTTAGATGGCCCTCACACACAGAGTCAGCCTGGGGCAGGATCTGTTCCCAAACAGCCACCCTTTTGGTGGGGCCAGATGTGGCTTAGAAGGTCAGCCCGGAGTTTGTACTGCGGGGTGCTGGGCTAGGCTGGGCTTGGCAACTTGAGAGCTGTGAAGCCTTGGGCGACTCACTTAACCACTCTGAACCTCGGTTTCTCTTCTGTAAAAATGGAGGATTGTTAACAGATACCTTACACAGGTGTTTGGTTAATTTTTTAACCAAAATCGGATACCAAATAGTACTAAAATAGGTCTTTTGTGACTGATCCTTGGCTGGGTATAAGAGCTGGCTAAGAACCAGTACGAAAGGAAATAAATGCTAAAAGCAAACAAAATGTCTGTTAACATTTAGGAAAGACCTGCTAGAATTCTCTCTCTCTCTCTCTCTCTCTCTCTCTCTCTCTCTCTCTTTGACAGATATAGTGAGAGACAGAGACAGAGAGAAGGTTCTTCCTTCCGTTGGTTCACCCCCAAACGGCCACTACAGCTGGTGCTGCGCCGATCCGAAGCCAGGAGCCAAGTACTTCCTCCTGGTCTCCCATGCTGGTGCAGGGCCCAAGCACTTGGGCCATCCTCCACTGCCCTCCTGGGCCACAGCAGAGAGCTGGGCTGGAAGAGGAGCAACTGGGACTAGAACCCGGCACACATATGGGATGCTGGTGCAGCAGGTGGAGGATTAACCAAGTGAGCCACGGTGCCAACCCCAAATTCTCAACATTCTTAAGTAAATTTTCCTATGTCAAATGAACTACACACTGGAAAGAAAGAAAACACACACACACACACACACACACACACACACACACAATGTGCCTCATTAGATCCTCACGACTCTAAATGCAGAACTTAAGAAGGCATTTTAGGAGACATGCACATCAACTCTCCCCACATCACCTGTTCCTGGGCACATTCTTTGAATTCACCTAAATCAGCCTTCTGATTTTCACAGAGGTTTCACCTGTCACTTGATGAGCAATTACTGCTCTGACTGAAGCGAGAAGCTCTCCTGTAAACAGTGGTGCTGATTGATTGTCTTCTCCTCTTTCTCATAACGGACGTAGGTGGAGCTGTTGGTGTCATAAATCCCAGCCAGCGCCAGATTCGACATCCACACGCACTCTGAGTTTCCACTTTCTACCCAAGAGCCATCCCTTTTGTTGAATGCTTGATTTGCTCCTGATTCCCAGCCCAAGCCCTGGCAGGATAAACTATGTGAGGGTGCAGGTGTGCTCACCAGTGAACCAAGCAGTCACTACTTCCACGGAGTGTCTGTGCACCTGGTGAAAGTAGAGAACGTGAAGATGAGGAGGACAGGCTGGAGGGGCTAATGTCACAGAGGTGGGATTGAAACTGAGACTCCCCATACCTGTGCTCATTTTAAAGATTTATCCACCTACCTATCTATCTAGGAAACAGAGGCCAAGAAACAGCGTCAGGGAAGAGAGAAAGAGAGCTCCCATCTACTGGTTCACGCCTCCAGATGCTCACAACAACCAGTGCAGGTCTGGCCAGGCCAAGGCCAGGAGTTTGGAACTGAATCTAGGATTCCCATGTGGGTGGCAAAGACCCAATTACTTGAACCCTCACTGCTGCCTCCCAGGGTCTCCTTTGACAGGAAGCTGAAATTAGGAGCCAGGGGTGGGTATTACCAAGTACTCCAACGTGGGATGCAGGCATCCTAACCAGCAGCTTGACTGCAAGGCCACATGCCTGCCGCCAGAACCCATGTTCTTAGCCATTAAGCCCCAGGCCTTGGCAGTGACATGGAGTTGCAGCAGGTGCCAGTAGCAAACGAGTGGACAAGAAATGGTCCTTCCCCTCTCTGAAAAACAAAGGCTGGAGCGCAACAATGTGAGTGTACAGGATGTCGCCAAACTGCACACTCACGAGTGGTTAAAGTGATCCATTCTGTGATGTCTATTTAACCCCAATGAATTCTTTTAAGTGATGAAAGGAGAGACAGGGAAAGGAAAAGGGCCCGGGCATGGTGTGGAAATGATCCATGAGAAATCTGTGACTTCGGTCCTGGAGAATCAGGACTGGGGACACAAAGCTGAGTGTCATCTACTTCACAGTTGTAGCTGAAGAAATGAGAAGAGCCAGGATGAGGAAATAGAGCAAGAAAGGGGCCAGTGTTGTGGTGTAGCAGGAGAAGCTGCTGCCTGCAGTACCAGCATCCAATATAGGCACTGGGATCGAGTCCCGGCTGCTCCACTTCTGATCCAGCTCCCTGTTAATGCGCCTGGTAAAGCAGCAGAGGATGGGCCAAATGCCTGGACCCCTGAACCCACATGGGAGACCTGGAAGAAGCTCCTGGCTCCTGGGTTCAGCCTGGCCCAGCCCTGAATGGAAGACCTCTCTCTTTCTCTCCCTCTTTTCCTGTGTAACTCTGCCTTTCAAATAATTCAAATCCATCTTTAAAAAAAAAGAAAAAGAAAAGAAAAAGAGAAAACTCAGCAAAGGAGACTTCCTGGATGTAGAAAGATAAAGGAGAGGTGTACACCAAAAGCCACACCAGGAGGTAACACAGGTGCAACCAACACGGTTGCACACCTCTGAGAGGCCAAGGAAGATGCAGATTAAGCAGCTATTGGCTTTGGCAGTCACAAAGCCATGGGTGAGGTTGGAGAAAGTGTGTGTCCAGAGGGTGAGCCTGGGAGCTCTGATGAAAACTGAAGAAGACGCATTCAGGAGCACAAACAACTTTCCAGTCTTTGGATGTTCAACATGAAGGTGGGCGGGAATAGGAAGGTAGTTAGTTTATAGGGAGCAGGGTCTGGGTGCAGGGATTCTAGGTCAGGCAAGATGTATAGCTCTCTGGGGGCTAAGGGGTTTAGACAGCAGGGAAGTGAGGTCCAACACATGAAGGAAAAGATAATATTAGGCAAAGTCTGTGATTAGACCAGAGGGCATCCAGATTAACATCAATGACCCGCTTGGCCTTGGAGAGAAGGAAGAATGAACCAAGGCAGAAGGACAGAGGGGTAAATCCAAGACGTGATTTTGAGTTGAAGTCCCTGGGCAGAGAGAAGATGAGTGAGTTTGCGTCAGAAGGCTGATTTCTCCCACCACAGGAAGGGTCATTGGTAATGACTGGCTGGTGTGTGTGTATCTTCAGAAAAATAGAAATGGTTTATAAAGGATTTGGGAAATGGGAAAAGCTACAATAGGGCTGCTAACAAGAAGTCTATGTCAGACTCCCCTGAATACCTGTACAAAATTAAATTTTCTGCAAGGTAAGGTGAAGGTTAGGGAAGGGTTTAGAATCACTGTGCTAATTTAATTTACTAGAAATAGACCAGGGCATGACCAACTGTGTGTAGTTCTTCAGTGGTTTTTAAATGCCTAAGACCCATAATGGTTGTGTTTACTTAGTGTTGAGGATTGTCAAAGCAGATAGGGCAACAAGTCAAAGGAACGAGGAAATTCATAGCACTAGATACTAGGTGTCTGCTCACTTAGGAGCCATAGTAGATCCATACACTTTTTGGGCATACCGACTTGGGAGCTCCTTCCCATTTCTGGGGGACACCATATGATGAGCCATAGGAAGAGGCAGTCACATCCCAGCACAGAAGCTAGGAAGTGCCAGTCCCCTGCTTCCCAGATGCCCTAGGAGCTAGGACATGGCATGCAATCCAGGCTCAGATACACACACCTGTTGAGAATTTAGAAGACACAGCGTTTAGAGACTCATTTCAGGCGGTAGCTCACCTTTGATCTTGCTCCTGGCCCAAGCCTTCTTCTTTAGACATCTCATCTGTTCTGTGCACTACCTAACACAATTTCAGTTCATTCTTTTTCTGCTTCTATCAGTTAGAAACTTTCTGGGGGCCAGGGTTGCAGCACAGTGGGTTACGCTGTGGCTTGTGACTCTGGCACTCCATAGTAGAAGGTAGGGTGAGTTCTGGCTCCTCCTGCCTCTGATCTAGCTTCTTGATAATGCACCTGAGAGGCAACAGATGATGGCCTAGGCACTTGGGTCCCTGTTGCCTACGTGGGAGAGCCAGATGGAAAGTTCCTATCTCCTGGCTTTAGCCTGGCCCAGCCCTGGTTGTAGTGGCCATTGGGGAATGAACTAGCAGATAGAAGATCTTTTAAGTTCTGCTGTCAGATAAATATTTTTTTATAAAGAACCTGTTTCTGTTGTTTATGACTAAGAATCCTCTTTGAGGCAGAGAGGTAGGTGAAATGAGTGGCTGACACTTGGTCCATGAGCTAAGAGAAAACCTGTTCTCTTCTAGCACTTCTGCCTTCAAATCTCTAAATGTCAGAATTTTAAAATCATTGAACCCGCTACAAACACAGACATTTACAACCCAAATTAGGCCATTTCTTTAATAAACTTTTATTGTGTAGCTGTTCTATAGGAGACATTTGGCTATGGCCTGGAATTATGCAGACTC